ATTAAAAAAAACATTGAATTTTAACCATTTTTCCGAGAGTTATTAGCAAATGAAAATGCGCTGAGTAAAATTTACCCATGTTTAGAGTTTACGTAACTTTTTGACGTGTCGGATTCTAGGGTTAAAATTCCTTGTGCTTGTAAAAAAGCAGCTTTTATAAGATGCTCACGATGTTTTACAACGTATTGTTTTACATGTTTTTATGATGAATATCATCCTAATTTATGTACCAATATACTGCCTTCTACTTAATATTATAAATATTGCAAATAATTAATAAAGATTTATATTGCAATTATTTCAAAACGATAAAAATATTAAAATTTCAGCATCAATATTGTATAACTAAAGAAACATTTATAATAGAAAAAATAATGGAAAAAAAGAGTAGCAGCGGGACTCGAACCAGCGATCTCGCGCTTACGAAGCTGGCGCGCTGTCCGGTACGCTACGCGTTCGGCTGAAAAATTTTTGCGCTGCACAGCTACTAACACATACACGAAAATTTCAAATTGCTTTTTCTCGAAAACGCTTGAGAGGTGCGTCGAGTGGCTTGCTCTATAAAAGTTTCTCGTTAAGTACTACACTTATGCACAATTTCAGCCAAATCGGGGAGGGGAACACCTGACGGTCCCCTTGTAAGCCTTCTTCAGTACATTTATTCGCTTATACATTTTTCGGCAGTGGATTGGCCAACTTTTTCGGAATCGGCGATGTCCATGCTGTGAAAAACTACACCACCCGTGTTTTTCAGCACATCCTTCGTTGGTTGGCGAGAATATGTTTGTCCTATTCTATGAAATCGTTTGTTGTTAGTCTAAAGCCAACCTATGGGAGAACCACAGGAGACATGTTGCGCTACGTCAAAAACCAAACAATCATAGATTAGGAACAAACATATTCTTGCCAACCAACGAAGAATGTGCTGGAAAACACGGGTAATGAAAAATGTAAAATGCGCTGCGTGTACGCGACCGATGGGTAAATGTACTGTTAGTATAGCCGATTGTTAGTATAGCCGAAACGTTTACGTACCATAATTCTTAAGAATAAATTATAGATATCTTTTAATTAACATCCACTAATGCTCATTTATTATGGCCTTTAATAATAATTGATGTTTGTATTTTTTCAATCACTCCAAGATGAAAATGTACCCTTAATTTAATTTGTGAGTACTATATCAGATTTATATCCACTTTGTGACTTAAAGCTGAGTATTTCAAAGCTTTAACTTAAAAATTAATGCGGCCCGTCAGAAAACTCGGAATACTGCAATTTTTTACTCTTAATTTAAATTTTAAATAATTATAAACAACGTAATTTAAGGGGGAGGATGCATTATGAAGTCATAAGGTAAAACTACTTATCTTTGTGTTCTATTTTCTCATCATTCGGTTAACGTATTCGAATCATTTTTTCCTTTATTCTTATTCTCGTGTAATTGATTATATCTTGATTATACTTTGCTTCTAAATAAATAATCTATCAAATTTTAATTATAGTTTTTTAAAAATTAAATAATAAATTTATAAAAAGTTATTTAGACACTGTCACGGTTCTTCGCTTTTATCCCTTCGAATTTATGTTTAACACGTCAGAGCTGTACACATTTATCATTTCTTTAAAAATATCGATTCTTTTTACAACTTCGATTGCTTGTAACTTTCAGTAAAGTCATAATTCTTTAATAAAAGTTGTTTCCTTTAGGAATAGAATTTAATAATAACTATATAATTTTGAAACTTTGTTTGCGAGTTGCATAATGGCAGACGCACTGCTTACTATAATCTATGCAAGAATATGTATATCCAATCTTTTATATTTTAAACGTTTAACCATATATATCTAACGAGTATTTTATTTTCAGCTCAAAATGTACGAAAAACTAACATTTTTAAATAAAAAAAATTTTTCATCTTTTTATCTTTTCAAAGTGCATCCTCCCTCTTAAACAACCTTCAAAATAAATAATAATGTATTTTGCACATCCACACGCGTACGAGATATTCCTAAAGGAATTAAGATCCAAAAAGGAAAATATGATTAAGAATATAATCGAATCTCCAATTCAAATTTGCAAGAAATTTAAGTTTGGATGTAAATTGCAGACGAGATACCTCACTAAAGAAAAGGCGAAGAATATGAGATGTTAAATAATAATAAAATATACGATTCTACGATCTGTGAATAATTTGAATTTTGCTACAAGACGGATTATACTGAATTTGTAAAAAGTTGTCTGTATTACCGATACAGTCACATATAGTTTTTGCGCTCGAAAATCTTCTTATAATTGGCTTTTATGCACAACATAATATCAGGACAGGACGCGGGTCGTACAGTAGAAAATTTCCATACTTAAAACACTGACGTGAGTTTAAAAGCAAATTCCTATCGAAATTTCGATACAAATTAAACTTCTAAACTCAATATTTTAAGTACAACAATGTTCTACCGTGCACTCTGTCCTGGTATTATTTTGTACAGTTTTATTCATTAATGGACTTGCATTTTTATCATTATTTTTCTCATCTATATAAATCACTGAATTTCAAGCTGTATGTATGTATGTACTACCACATACTTTTATAGAAACTGTGTGAACTACAGCCTGAAACTCATCAACGTATAGATGGGAATAAAGATTATGAAAATGTGAATTCTAGTAAAACTGAGGTCCAGGCATTAATGAATAAGACTGTACATAAAAACTATGAAACTTTTATACGAAGCTAATCGGCAATTTTATAACTGTTTTCTTTTTTAGCATAAAATGTACCAAGTTTGCGTGCATATTTTAACCATGAAGAAGGATTTTTAATTCTCTCTAAAATTCGATAAAAAGATTCAAATGCGCAAAAATTGTTTTTGTCGGTAAATTATCGACATTTTCGGAGTTTAATCATCGTTTTAGGGACAAACTGTAGCCACGCGTAGCTTGTATCGAACAATAGATTGTTTCAGCTAGTTAATGAGTTTCAATAAGTTCGATCGGTGTTAATAATACGAATGCATCGTATCTCTCTACATGATTTTTTACATAAATTACATAAACTAAGAACTTCGAAAAAAAAGAGAGAAACGTAAAACAATATAAAAATTAACAAGAGAGCGTAATAATCTTACAAAGTCAACTAATCAAAATAACAAAAACGTTGAATTGATCTTGTATACAGCGCGTAGTGTTTCTCGTTTCTCTTAACAAAAAATAAAAAATAAAAGGATGAAATTTAGGAGAAGAAAATTGAGAAAAGTGGACAAATTTAGTTATACTGAAGAAGATCTCTCTCTTCAATAGACCGAAACATATCCGGAATCACATGCGTTATTTAGAAGAAAAATACTGAAAGACTTGATTCTTCATACCATCAACATCGATCGGTCTTGTGATGCTGCTATGCCTGATCTATCCAATCTACGGTTTGTGCTCAAACAGATTTCAATGTCCAGCTGTCTAAATTTTGAGTAGAGCAATACTCGTGTAAACATCTGAACAAGCATGGTTTGTGCAAAGATGAACACGTTCGAGAAATTATCATGTAGAACACATCGTATTACAGATTTATAACGCAAACGGATCTCTTACTGTCCCCTGCCTCTCCCTATTACACTACTACTGCTACCATTATTATTAATATTATTTAGTCAGCAATTTACCAGGAAATACTTGTCTGCGTATAAATGATGAATGATATACAGGGTGCTACGCAACATATTGACCACCGGTCATGGGAAGGTAGAGGGGACTAAGACAAACAGAAAAGTCCTTTACTATTTTGCGCTTGGACGAATAGTTATCGAGATACTGAATTTTCAAAATCGCCGTATTAGTCCAACCTACTGGCAAATGCAAGCGCGCGGTGAGTAGCGACCATCGCTGCGAACTTTGACGCAGCGCGGAGAGACGTGCCAGCGGTCGCGTAAGCGGCGGACGGGCAGCGGCACGCCTCGCCTCCCTACTCCTCGCCGCACACCGCCTCGAGCGGGGCCGCTAGGCGGGCGCATCTCACCGCGCGCTTACATTTGCCAGTAGGTTGGGCTAATACGGCGATTTTTAAAATTCAATATCTCGATAACTATTCGTCCAAGCGCAAAATAGTACAGGACTTTTCTGTTTGTCTTAGTCCCCTCTACCTTCCCATGACCGGTGGTCAATATGTTGCGTAGCACTCTGTAGACTATAGAGAGTCCTCTTCCAAGTCTCCTCAAAAACAAATAGATATTATACAAAAGTGCACGAAGACAATGCGTAGAGCTAAGTAAGTTCCTAATTGTAGCCACTGCAAACTGTAAAAAGTATTATGATCGAAAATCTCTTCAATTTCATAATAATTCCTCTCTGTGTACTGTCATCGAGAAGCATAATCTGCGGGCAGTAAACGAATGACTCTGACGAGGAGGTTTTGTACTACAACGAAGAAATATAGCCTATTGCATCCCGGACGATGGTCGTCACTTAAGAATAAGGCCAGCTAAAAAGGGTCAATCCCGCAAATGAACACCTAATGGCCAAGAGCGATCGTCACGTCGCGTTAATTGCACCAAACAATTGTGTTGCCGATAATGGGCAAACGATATATAGATACACGCAATTCGTTTACGCCATGTAGAATTCAAACTCCATCATCTTTTACAACCTAAGGCAGTCGAATCAAAATTGCTACACGGGTATTCCTCGGGTGGCGAAACGCGATCTTGTCCTGGGAACTTCCTCGTTAGTTCTACACCCCGCTGGAACTAACGGCGAAGCGCCTGATAATGTCCTAACAGATCCGCCAGAACGCAACCTTGCCCGCTATATCGTCCGAACACAGTATCTACTTTTGTCATCGATACAACTACTGATTGATAAGACTCGAAACGAAGATAGGGCCACACAAAATTTGGAGATAGACCGATAACTTCGCACGTACATGGCGACGCGCTTATTTTTCCGTTCGATCGTTACAGTCTCGAATAATTAATTTCTATGCCAGGAACGAATTCCTGCAAGTATCAATAGCGGATTACAGGAAGGAAAGATGGGCCTATCGTCATTGTAGCGAGACGCAGGCTAACCGACACTACCCGATGCAAGGTAGCTCTTCCAAGGTCGCGCCTCGAACTTGGATGTGTGATCTCACTCTCTTACATATGAACGCTAATCTGCTCCTGCCACTTGCATCAGGAGTATGTAGAGGGCAAGGCTGGCCCTAGGCACGTCCATGCAGCAATCCTCTACTCATCTGCGCTTTTTCCTCTTAGATCTGTTGCTCGTTTTCTTGGCGGCGGTCGAGTGCTCGCTGGGCATCTCGCGCTCCGCTTCGTTCCGCTTGTCGACAGGCACGGTGGACTGCGGGAGCACCTTCGAGGAGGCCAAATTACTTGACCGCTCGGGCGCTCCGTCGCCGTCTCCGTCGCCGCCACTGCCACTGCCGCTGCCGCTGCCACTGCTCTCCACCTGCTGCCGCGTTGGCTGAAGCTGCAAAGAAGAATCTCTTTGCGATTCTCTCCTCTCGGCTGCCACGTTACCTCGACGTGTCTCGTCGACGACGAATCGTACTTCCGAAACGAGGAGAGGACTGCCCTCCGTCGCTTTGTTATCCCCCTTGTCCCGGGAGATCTTAGCTCGCGCCATAGCAGTCGTGACGCGCGCAATATCCTTGTCCGTGCCAAGTTCTTCGTCCGCTACCGGTGCGTCAAGGTCTACGAGGACACTCTCCTTCACCGTCGTCGTCGCCGTCGTCGTCACCGTCGTCTTCGTTACATCGACGTTATCCTTCTTACGGAAGCGGAGTTCCTCCTCCTCTCCCTCCTCCTCTTCCTCCTTATTCCTGCAAGCTAGTCGTCGCGTACTCTCGCGTACTTGGCGCGTCACGGATTCAAGGAACATAGGATCGTCTCCGCCGCGGAGTTGAGCCTCCTCCAGCTTCCTCACGTGCTCGCCGGCTTCTAGTTTTTCCTCCACCTCTATCAACGGCTCAAGATCCGTCTCCTTGCGGACTTCCTGCGAATCCAAGGAAGAGGAAATGCTCTTCTTGACGATAGAGCTCCAGGATACACCCTCTGCCGAGGGTGAAGCTTGAGGTTTCGGCTCCTGATCCGCGGGGCCGAGTTCCGCGAATGGCTCCTCCCGCACAGCTTCTTGCAGTTCCGCCATTTTCACCTTAGAGGAACGGAACGAAGGCAGAGGGGCGGCGAGAGAAGGCTCCGTACAACTGTTCTCCTGCGACTGGCCGTCCGACTGCGACCGCTTGTTCTTGCGAGACTTCCGGGTACGCGCCGCGGCGACGACGGGCAGAATCTTGCACTCCGGCGTCGCATCGGCATCCACGTCGGCCTTCTGCAACGCGTCGATGTCGATAATCTCAACGATGTCGCTGTCGGTCGTCTGCGAGGCTCGCTTGGCGGGTAGCAGCGGAGACGGTGAAAAACTCATCGTCTTCGGGCCGCGACTTTTTGCCCTTTTCGTGGGGCTCGGATACGGTCCCTCTGGCTTGTCCTTAAAGTAGTCGGCGGAACTGCACTTGTCAGTCTCCTCCGACTTGAGCCAGACATCCTCCAGTGGGTTGTATATCACAGTGACCTCCGCAGCCTCCGTCTCACCCTTCTCGATCACCATAATATCCTTTCGCTTCTTGCCGGATCTCAACTTGGCTCCTTGCTGCTCCGCCGACGACGGTGCTTCCTGACCCACCTGCGGGGGTTCTCTCTGCGACAATCTCGCCACCGCGTCGAGTTCCAACTCGCGAGCCTCCGAGAGCTGAACGTGTTCCAGATCGTCATCGGAGGACAACGTGTGTCTGCTGTGCCTTCTACGTGGGCAGTCGCTGCTCGTCTTTGTCAAGGACTTAATCGCGCCGACATCGCCGCGTTCCGAGCTCGTGGATTCGAAGCCAAGCTCGACGCTGTGTATGTACTCCAGGTCGTCGTCCGAGATCGTGCTCTTGCTGCTCTTGCGTTGAACTACGGGAGAAGAGAACTGCGCGACTGCGCCGACCGTCGCGCCTGCGTCCCTACATCTGCCCGCGTCGACCTTGATCCGCATCTGCATCACCTCGGACGCGTGGATGTGCTCGATGTCGTCGTCGGACTGGGTGGACGTGGAGGTGGCGTCTCTACCGAGATTGCACGGCTCCACCATGTGATACTCGATGGAGCTGAAGTCGTCCAGCGGCGGCGGATCCAACGGAGGCAATTCATCATCCCTCTCTCTGTCGTCGCAGTCAGAGAGCGATCTCGCTTTCTCCATGTACAAGGCGGCTTTGACAGGATTTCCTCTCCTCACAATTACGTCGGCAATCGGTTCCGTCGACTCGGACAGGTCGATCGAGGACACCTCTCTCGCGCGTTTAATTTCATTACTCTCTTGCTTAAGTCGATCCTTGCCGGTGAATTCCCGCGGAGAAGCGCGGCTCTTCCACTCGTCATTCTTTCGCATCACCTCGTACTTGTCCCTCCTCGCTACCTTGCTATCTCTCGCGCACTCGAGTCTCTTTTTATCGAGGCAATTTTCCTCTTTCTTTACGCCAACGTTCAGCGTCGAATCCGATTCGACGCACCGCGCGTCCTCGATGACGACGCTATCCTCGTGCTCCTTGACGATGTATTTCTCCGCACGCGTCGGCCGCTGCTCAATCGGATGTTTCTGCGCGGGACTCAACGTTCTCTCTCGATCGACGACGGCCTTCCTCGCGACGGGTCTCTTGACTCGCTCGTCCACGCTCGGTCGCGGTACCTCGACACTTCTCTCGCTCCGCATCGTCCTGTTCTCCATCAGCGTGACGCTGTCGTCGTCATAGCTGACGACGTACTTGGCCTTGGCAAGATACCTCTCGTGTGCCTCGCTATGATAATCCTCGACGCGTCGGTCGACGACGGACCTCCCCTTGCTGCACCACAACGCGGTCTCTTTCGCCTGCGTCATCGGACTGCTCGGGATCTCACCCGGCTCGGCGCAGAGGCTGAGGTTCGTCGGCACGTCGCGGAACGCCTCCTCCTTCTCGTAATCGATCGACATCGTCATCGCCGCCGCCGCCGTCGTCGCCGCCATCTCCGCGCACAGGGCGCGACGCTCCTGCAGCTCGCGTATGTTCTCGTCCGGCACGCTGTTGATCGTCGGCTCGCTCGCCGAGCGCATCTCCGCGCAGATCTCGGTGAGCTCGCGACTCAGCGCCCGGCTCTCCGGCTCGTCCGGAAGGTCGGCCGCGCCGAGCGAGGCCGGGCCCTCCTCCGCGCACACGCTTCTAGGCGCGTGGATCTCCTCCGCGGCGGAGTCGTACTCCAGTACGGAGCTAATAGCATCCTCATCCTCGTCGGCCGACACGGTAATCACGGTGCCGGTGTGAGGGTTGACGACTTTAGTTACCGGCTGACCCACCCTCTCAAATACCGTACGCCTCCCTAGTAACAGAAAAAGCCGTTGGCAGGTATCAATATCACGAGTAGCTGCTCACGCGTGTCTCTCTCTCTCTCTCTCTCTCTCTCTCTCTCTCTCTCTCTCTCTCTCTCTC